ACAAATTCATTTCAGAACGTTTGATGACAAATACACAAAATAAAAATGGCAATTCTGAAGTAACTACAACATTAAAACACTGAAGTCGACATTGTTTTCATCATTAGCCGCTTGCCGCTTTCAAAATGTCAGCACCCATCACTTAACGTCTGAATGCAGCCCCTGTTAGACAATAGCAGTTGTGAACTTTTGGAGACCTCTGGTTCTGCTCATCTCAAAGACTATCAGTGGGTAAAATACTGCAGTCATTAAAATGATAATGATACAGTCGGTGAGACTGAAGACATATTGATCAGGCCCAACACCTCTCACATCCCTGCTGCCTCACACCGATACACGGCCATCTAATGAGGAGGACTCTATAGCTGTATTTGCCTGCCTCTGCTTTATACATACAGCATGATCTGTGTCTGTGTCTGAAGTCGATACGAGAGTTCTTTACTGCTGCACAAAGGGATGCAATTATCACTTACTTCAAGCGCGGGCAATTTGTGATCAAATTGCAGACAAAGCCAACATTGTATTTTCAGTTGAGAGGAGCAGAAAATAACACATTTGTACTGAAGATGTTGATGCTTATATATATATATATATATATATATATATATATGAAGCTGTCACTGAACACATGGGATGCAGTCGTGAGATACACAAGTACATGCTGTACAACACTGGACAGAAATGACAATCCTCCCATAACTTCTATGACATATTGTTGTGACACATTAAACTTCAAGGTAGACATCTATGAGAGACCATCAACATCAAATACCCAACGACAGTTACACAGAGAGAAATGGATATGACTCAATACACTCACAATATATTCATCCATCAAGGACAAAATGTTTTCTGCTTGAAGCTTCCACCTTGGTGGATAAATTAAGGTACCTCTGAACCAACCAAAAATATTCATACCCCTTGAACTGTTTGACTTTAAAATGTTTTTTTGCACATCTACCCAACCCAACAAAACCAGTTATGATCACATTTGATCAAATTTCTTCTAGATTTTTACTATGTTCCCCTGCATGACTTGTGGCAAATTCTAAATTGGACTGTTGTCTGCTGTGATTTGCTACTTTCGCAGAAAGATTAGATACAAAATAAGACTAACAGCTGTCCTGTCAACAGACCTGAGCTTTTCCCTTGAGCTTTTCTTCCACCTGAGCTTTGAATTCTTACAGCTCCTCCAGAGTTACCATAGTCCTCTTGGCTGTTTTTCTAATTAATTCTGTACTTTCTCGTCTCTCTTTAGGCAAGCAGCCTGTGAATAATGATAACAAACAAACAATAATGATAGACATCTGAGGTCTCCATAGAACAGATGTATGCATACAGAGATTGAGTCACCAACTGTATTTCTGTGACTTCTTATGGCAACTAGAGGCACTGGATGCAACTGGAAAGCATTCATCTTCTTCCTCCCACTTTTGGAATCACTTTAATAACTTTGTGTTGGTTTATTACATAAAACCACAATAAAATCCATTCACATTTTTGACTGTAATGTGAAATAATTTTGTTCATGAGAAGTGAAAATTTGCAAGGCATGCAAGAGTGGTCTGGGATGTTTGAGTTCAAGTTGATACGTCTTGATGGATCAGAAAGATGGTTGCTATGGCAAACAGGAGTAGTAGTAGTAGAGACATTGAAGTGCAGTGCACCTCTGAGAAGAAGTATTTGGGGAGAAAGCATTTATGTGTAAGAAGGTCACTAGTGTTTACTTGAGAGCATACCCTGAAGTTTACATTAATGCTAAGATGACATCAGTTCTGCTGCTTCATATTTTGTTAATCCCTGGCCTTTGCAGGGATACAGTAAGGGATACAGATGCTGGAGTCTAAAATTTTAACTCTGCATGTGTGGAGCTCAGGTCAAACCCACACATGGAGACAAAAAAAAAACAAAACAAAAAAAACCAAAACCCTCTCCCCAGAGCTGATGACGCAAATAGACTGATAACAATGAGTCGGTGCAGTATTCCAGTGCAGACAGGGACAATAGGAGATTGAGGAAAAAAGATGGAACACAAACAGATTACGAAGAAAAGGGTATACATTATCATAAAAAGACAGCAGCATCTGCAGGTGCAATAAAAATTGTCATTCAAAAATCTACAAACCAGCATCGGTCATATGGAAATGTGAGACTATAGCTGACCTACAGGGCATACAATCTACGCGTTCAGTCTTAATCAACCAGACAAACACCAGACAGGAAAAAAGCAGTAGATGGGGTGAGATAGGGTGATGGTATTAATACCTACTCCAGCCAGACGGGGGCTCCTTATCACATGCATAGTGCCTCTTGGGACTCTCCACAATTGTTCCCCCTCTTACTTTATTCTGATTCTCTTCAAATCTGCAAGGAGCATTCTATATTTGAGTCTTGTACATTTCCCTATTTGTTGCTTCTCAATTTTACTTTCTCTTTTCTCTTATTTGGATCCTTCTCTGTCAACTTCACAACCAGTCTGTCTTCCTTCCTCTGAGATTCTCTCTTTTTGCAGGCACTGCAATCTTGTCCAGACACAGTTTTACTGCAAATGTGCACAGAAATATCACCAATAAAAACAGTCAGAGAGAGCAGAAATCTCACTCTAGTGGCATGGATGACCAAAAAACTAAAGCAGGACTTAGAAAACAGATTTTTTTAAAAAGATTTTTAACACAGTTAGGTAGTAGGCAATATTTAGATAACAGATTATTCGGAAAATATCCGATTCAAAGAGTCAGGAATCTTCAAGAGAAGATGGCATCCTTGCTGCTGAATGATGCAGAAGGCTGCAACAGGGAAAGTAGACAAGGAAAAAGGAGGCAAGGACACAGACTAAAGAAGTCAAATGAAGCTTGGATGAAGAAAATTGTTGAACATGGAGGACACATGAGACAGAGGTGATGGTTACATGCGATGGTGCTCCTGTTGCTTAAAGAACAGCACTGTCGCGGGAAAGCCAACACCTCTCTGCTCTTGTAATGTCAGGGATTTCACATAACATCACCTCACTTCAGAGCACAAGCACCTGTACACATGTTGAGACGTGCAAATGGCCGCTACCGCCCTCAACAACACGTAGGGAAGAACAAGAAAGAAAACACACTAATGGAGATGCACATATACTTAGAACAAATGACACAAGTGATTTTACAGTTTAACTGTGTTTTTCCCTTCTGTCTATATAAAAAATCCAAATATCATAGCGGGCTCATTGGAAGCCTTGCTGGAAGCCGATGACAGTTTGCCGAACAGCACCTTGTCATTACACAAACTTGTTAAAGCATCAAGCACATGTTTAACACATTTAGAAAAGTAATTACTTAAAAACGTACCGAAAGTTCTCCTTTTTATTACCGACACAGCGTGTTGCTGTTCCAATTATACCATGCTATTTCAGGTCTGCGAGACAGAAGACGGAAGCCTTTTGCTCTACTTTGCTTAAATCAGTCTGTTTTTTGTGCCTGGCGCTTGCTGTTTTGTGAGTAATGGCTGAATAAATAACAGTGGGACATTGCTGTTGAATCTCTGAGCTTGCAGTGGATGCAGACAAAGAGCAACCAGCATGCCATCTGAAAGCACACAGATTGATGTTGCCAGGGGACTTTGTTGGGTCAGTAAATAAGCAAATCTTCTCAAGTCCACAACCTCCAATCAATGTTAAGAAACAATTGATTGGAGGTTTATTGCTCTGAAATGTATGTTTATGTAATGGAAATATTTAAGCATAAAGGAAAACAATAGTTACTTAAATTGGTCTGAAAACAATAATCATCGATTCTATTCATTTTTTTTCTTTTATCAGAATAGAGGTTTTCTGCCTGGTGGGAAGTTGGAATCTAAAACAACAACTTTCAGATTACAAGACGACTAATCTTCCCATCAAGCCCAAGCTGCCTCTATTTAAGGCATGTATATTAAAAATAATAATAATGAAAGGACGCAGCTCTTGCATTCTTCCAAAGAATGCAAGAGGTGCAATTTATACTATTTATTTATAAAATTGAAACATAATTTAAGGCTGAGTAGTTACGTTAGATAAATAATCATATCTGACTGTGGATCACCTGGTTGGTGAGTAAAAACAGTAAATAAATTATATGAAGTGCTGTGGTTTCATTATTAAAAGGCAAGCAGGGAAGTGTCAGAGAAGAGAAAAACCAGCATGTGGAAATACTGAGGAATATACAGAATAAACGATGTTCAAGTGACATTTTTTTTTTCCTCTAATGTATGACTAAGCAGATGACTGCAGACAACACCGTGATTAAAACAAAAGTATATGGGCTATGCCTAGAGTGGGTTTACTCTTTATTACATCCATGCCAATCATTAGACGTTGCTGTAAGCAGCTGGAGCCCTCATCTCCTCTCAATATGTTCTTGTCACCCAGCTGGATCTTAGCTCTGACAGTCCTTCATTCTCTACAAAGCATCCGCCTTCCCAACAAACACAACCATGCATTCACACACACTAACTGTGAGGGGGAAAAAAATTGTTTACCAGGCTAGAGAATCCCGAACGGAATCACATTTTCCCTTTCAAAGGTTGTTTGAAGTTCCCACACAGATGTTGATGCCGTCCTCTTATTTATTTATTTTTTAATGTAAGAGTTTCCCTTCGCGTTTTTTGCCACCTTGCCTAGGCGCAGTCTGACACACTTACTTCAACAGCCCACCCCCCCATCCTTCCGCCAGCCCTCCGCTCTGTCCTGGTGATCATAGGGATAAAGTTTTATCTGGATGAACAGAAAACTTTGTAAAAGTTTTGTTGTGGCAGTCTCAGACTCGTGGAACGGAGGGAATCAGCTGTTGAACTTGAGAGACAGATGTTTCATTAGCTGCCACACGTCTGAGTATGTGTGCACATACACACAGAGACTACGTTTTACAGTTAAACTTTTTAACATGCTATGACAGGTGACAAAAAAAAACTACACACTGATCCAAAAAAGTATAGCTTCAAACAAATCAAAGTTTTTTTGGGTGGGAGGGCTTGTAGAAAGTGGAGTAGAGGTCTCATAATCAGGGAGGAAGAGCAACTTTGTGTTAAGTTTTCAATGAAGATTACTTCACTTCCTGAATGTCCTCTTGTGGATCATGGATCCTTTTTCACATGGTGAAACATCAGAATTTCACTAGAAGTGCTGCCCTGCTTTAGCAAAGTGAGGGTTCTGAGTAATCCATAGCTTCTGAGTACATAGTACAGGACTACTGACTTCACTGTTGTCCAGTAGATGGCTACAAGAAGGTCCTTGTTCAAGAGCGCAGTATGCAGGAATATTACTGGAAAGTAAAGTGAAAAACAAAGGTGAATAAGAAACAGAAAAAAACACATATTTGAGAGAACTAGTTGTATATTAAAGAGTGTTAAATTTTTTTTAGTCTTATAAAAAAATCTAAATCACCTAATCATCAAAATCAACAGAAATTATGTCACTATGTGTAAGGGCCAGTCTTCAAGCTAAATTCTCTACACGGTCATGCTAAGCAGCATTTTAATTAAATGCATTCGCCAATTCCTTTAAACATTTTTTTTTTTTTTTCCACACAAGCAACATTGGTTTTTACAAGTCAGACTTAAGTGTAGTGACAGCAATGGTGTCAGAAGGTTTACAACCAGCACAACCATCAGCCTCTCGAGCTGTCATGCTTTGGAACGCAGCGCGGCGTCGGGGCACTCTGAGGTTAACGGTGTGGTGTCACACCGTTAAATTCAATCGGCCTTTTATTGCCTTTTTTCTTATCTGTCCCCAAGGGCAGACCAGACTAAGGCTATGAGAGATCTCTGAAGAAGAGAGACCGAATCATGTCCCAGACTGCGCTTGCACGTAAAATGTGGCTGGCAGATTAGTGTTGATATATATTTTTGCTGATGGACTTAAGTCTTGCATACCTACACTTTTCTTTTTTTTTTCTTTTTTTTTACTGGCCATACAGCCTGAATAGGAATACATGTTTTTTTTATTTAGTTTTTTTTTTTGTTTGTTTTTTAAAGCACATGTTTAGGTAGTGGGGAAGGACATCACTTTCCCCAAACACAGGATTAGTTTGAGTGTAGACGACGTCTAACTGACGTCAACTGCAATGCTACAGGCAATGAGAAGAGGGCAGGAATATACAAAAAAAAAAAAACACTTAAACTGAAAGAAAATGAAAAAAAGAAATGTGAAGACGAGGGATGGAAGGTGTGGAATTAAAAAGACATGCACATTTTGTGCAGAAGTGGATAAACTGTGTTCATGTTTAAAAGGTATATTTCTCTGTGCGTGTAATCTGAAACAGGTCTGGTATCTTTAGAGATTAATCCAACTCCAGCTTTAGACGTCACTCTCTAATCCATCAGAGTTAAAACAAGCTGCTCTCTGTAACCGGCTCTTGACCACAGCCAACTGCAAACTCTATTTGTAAAAAACACCATATGTACAGCGAGAATAGATTTGGGAATACTACAAATCGTAGACAAACCAGTCACTATTCACAGTTTGGTTTGTTGAAAAACTCTTACTTGTTAACGTAAAATAATCCTTTTTAACCGCACAGATTTTAGTCTTGCGTTTAGATTTACACTCAAAAAGGCTGCTGCGTGATGAAGTGGACAGCCCAAGAGCGAGGTGAAAAAGACATGGAGAGCAACAACGAAAGAGGAGATGAAGAAGTGTGTGGGAGGCCAGGGATGCCCTGCAGGATATTATCAGAGGGCACGCACAATAAAACATCATCGCACCTGACCCACATGAACACAACCATCTCCCCAATGTGCACCGTGCGCGTAGAGCACAAAACCAGCCCAATGCACCTGATCCACACGAATACAAGCCACATGTGCACACCGTACACACCACACAGGAACATAAATGTTGTATCGCACACCTGACGTTAAGTTTCCGACCCACACAAATACGGTATGCATGGCATACCAAGACACTCCGTCTGACCGACACAAGGCCCAATGCGTGCACACTTTCATACCTACATAGGGTATTTGTTACAAATTTCTTTGAATAACGGAGGCAAACAAAGCATATACCTATCTGAAGTAAACTCTTCTGCCGCCTCAGGTCCTATGTCTGTGACATCCAGAAGCAGATGGAGTTGAGATATTTTCTCCATTTCTACTTTGTTTTGAAAAAAAGATTTCAATGAGATTTAACTGCTTTAAAAAGTCAGTTTACTCATTTTTAATTGGCTTCACTACACAGTCACATTTAGTTTACAGAAAAAGCACCAGGTCTCAAATGAACAAACGTAAACAAAGCATTTAATTTTTTGTTTAGGATGCATGAATGCCCCCAATCTATAGATGCAAACGTTTTGACTCAAAAGCCTATATTTTAACAGGAAAAATAATAAAATGTCAAATATTTTATTAATTAATAAAAAAAAAAATAAATAAAAAAAAAAGGAAAACCTCAAGGTACGGACAATGTGGACATCTGCAGCTTATAGACAAGAGTAATTTTTTGGGGGGCGTCAAAGTTGGCTTATATTCAGGTGCGTTCAATAGTCTGGAAAAAAGATCCCAAATAAGATCTGAATATTTAAAATCATAAATCTGTTAATAAATCAATTCTCTATATACATTTCTTATAATCACCCTACAGTTTTTCTGAACAATCTTTTTCAACCACAGTTAAATATCCCTTCTCAAGTCTTTTTTTTTTTTTTAATTTGACCCTTTTTCTTTTCTGTAGCCATCTCCCCCTGACCAGCGTCTTCTGTTTTTCTTTGTCCTCTCTCCTCCAATTACCTTCAACCACCTCACCTCACTCCGACCATCCCATCGCCCTGCTGCCCCCGAGCTGTGTTGCGTGCTGCGCCGTGTTGTCATGAGGTGAGGTCAGCGGCTGGCATTTGTCGAGCGCATACAATCAGACATGCTGTTCTCTCTGACCTGACCAGACCTTCTCATATGTACATAACTCCTCTTAGGAGAACTGGCAAAGAAAACATTAAAAAAGGAGGACCTAGACAAGAAAAAACACCCCAAAATTATTTTATTTTGTCCCCAATAAAGCTTATGGACATTTAAGCAGATTGTCTAATGAAACTTTTCAACCTAACTTGTGGGATTTCTCTCTCCTAGGGACGGGCAATATAGAATTATCACAGTATCTTGTATTATTTATTCCAAAAACGACAATGAATAAAGAATGAATCATTTTTGGCTAAAAATCAACACCCTCAGAGCCACACAAACAAATGCTGCTCTGAAAATAAAATTTAAATAACCTTCTATAAACCGGACTCATTAAGTAAAGCAATTGGACTGCTATATAGCATCCAATTTGAAACAATTTGATATTGATGGGATGCTTTTATCAAACCAACAATAGAATAAAGTCAGTTTTTGAGGTTGAAAACAACGTCAACATTAGTGATGTCGATCAAGACAAATCACAATATCAGTGATATAACTGCCCGTCTCTAATTCTGCCACAGTAACATGCTGAACAAGGAGAACGGCAGCAAAAAATCAATAAATACAATTTTCAAATTTGCTTTTACTCCCAGCAAACAGTAGAATAAAGTAACTGTGCAAAGAATGGTCTCAACAGATGTGTAGTGATAGCCAAGTACCAAAAGGAGTTGTGTGTGTGGGTATGTGCAAGCATGTGTGTGTGTGTGTCCAGCACTGCTGCTGGGACACCTGAGGTGAAGCACCTGATCTGAATCATGAGTGTCTGATTGGCTTGAGAACGGGGCTCAGGTGCATCTCACTGAACTGAGAAGAATACCACTGGGATCTGGGATTCCCTGCTCAGCTAAACACACACACACGCACACACACTCAGACTAGTGGCTTAAAGGCAAAAGCAGGAGCAGACGACGGCTATGTATAAATCAATTCCAGACAATATATACACACCAGAGCAAAAAGCTACACACTGTGACCTTTCTTTAGCCGTTTCACCAGGTAGCACAGACAAACACACACATGCAGAACATAAAGTGGATGTACTGCAAAACTATTCTAGTTCAGAATAAAACAGATTTATTCCAAAAAGCCAAATTCTGTATATGTCAATACAGCATTGTGTCAAACAATGACATATTGACAAATTTTATGACGTGCATTAACTGTATACATTTCTTAACATCTGCCTTAAGACTCAGAAAATTAAGGAAGTTTACCAAGCCAATGTACAAACTGCATAATCTTGTCATAGCAACAATTAGAACAAACCAATAAGCTTTGAGAAGGAAATATAAATGAATGAATTATGGAACTAAATGTCTCCATGTAAAGGCTTGTGAAGGAAATTACTGCTGAAAAGCAAAAAAAACCACAGTGATGTAACAAGTCTCAGTCATGCCTTAACTCCCAAAGAAGAAAGTGAAATGTATTTCCCAGAAGAGATATAGCCCACTGCTGGCAATTCCCTTATTTATTCTTTTTTTTCTCTATTCTTACATCAGTTCCCACATCTCACCTCTAAGGTACATCAAAACAGCCCAAATAACCCAGAGCCAAATGTAGGAAAGGTAAAGACTGAAACCTTCATTTCCAAACAGCATGCAGAAACGCAGAGTCAACAGCTTTGTACCTGCAAACCTTTAAAAATGTTAGAATATTCAGCAGACTGATTATTTTTCTAAATGTGTAAAATTGCTGACTGCTATTGATATTTATGTACTTTTTGGATGGGGAGTTGAGGGTGGTTTCTAACATTTATTTTCTCAATATTACTTTCAGACTGTCCATCTTCAGACCGCTGTGTGTTTTACACAACATGGTAAATGGCCTGTACTTCCAAAGCGCTTTATCAAGTCCAGAGGACCCCAAAGCGCTTCACACTCCACGCGCAGTCATTCACCCATTCACACCCCGATGGTCCGATGGTGGCAGGCTGCAGGAGCTTCTTAAGACACCGGCCAATTTTAAGGTATCAAATTTTTTTTAAGTCACATTTGATATACAGAGCATTTTTACCAAAGGCAACAATTACTTGATTGTACTATGAAATGGCCCTGTGTCTTCAAAGTACATAACACTGCTCCTTTCAGCTTAAGGTGCAGTGTTTTTTGATTACCGTTTTTTTTTTCTTCTTCTTCTTTTTCAAAGTTGGCATAGTTTAGAAAAAGACAGCATTTATCTTATGCATATTTATGGATTGGATACAAGTATCATTTTATAGCAAGATTAAAACATTGCGGAATTTCAAAACTGCTGAAAATTTTTCATCTTACCATGTCAACAGTTAAAATGGCTGCCTGAGAAACAGGCCCCCACTCTTTTCCACTGCTTGCAAGTAAAAAAGGCCGACAGTTTGGCAACATTTGTGTAAGCTAAAGAAGTGCCACCTCTCCCTCTTATGGATGCAACAGTTTTAAACCAGCAGCTGGAGAGCTAATATGGCAGCTCTATTAAACAATTGACTACAGGCTCTACCAGTGCAGATAGCCTTACTAACCGATTAATACAAGCCCGATAAATGCTTTACTCTCTAATGTCCACAACTTTTAGATGCATCTCTGGTCTAACCCTTGAATAATTTCCTCCGTATGCAGTCAAGTTCTCTGAAGTGATACTAATGATCCAGTTATTTATGTATTTAAGTAGACAGATTTAAAGTTGCAGGACACCGGCCCTGGAGGATCGGAGTTTGACATCTATTAAAAAGAGGGAAGATTAAACGGTAAAATATTCTACATAATATGGACCTGAAAGCTACTAATACATTCAGTAAGATTTTATTCTGTGTTTTGACTGTGTATCAAAAATAAAAATAACTATATGTAAAAATAAGAATCAATAGTATTTTGTTATCAGCAACAGTAACTCTTGCTTTTCTGACTAAAATAAAAGCAATATGGCATTGCTATACATCTTAGATTTAGTCATTTGTTTTTATTAAAATATTGTTATGAAGTTACTTCTGAGTTTCCCCTCTTGTATAACTGCTGATTTAGCTGCATGCACAATTTCATATGAACCAACATCTCATGCAGAAAAAACATCTATGATGACTATCGGTACGTGTGAGTGACTGATGCTGGAGTCAGAGTCATTAAGTCAGTCACTGCACTTTAGAAATCTTTCACTGGCTTTGAGTTTTTAACATTACTGACACAAAGTCAAACATTTTTGACTAAAGTAAAAACAGCAAAACTTAATGCACTTACATTTGATCTTCGTTTATGTTATGAACCAATTCTTGCATAGGAAAGAATCAACAGCATAGGAAGACAAAATGCAGATTTGTGTCTAAACTACAAACAATTCAATGTGCAACTCTCTTTTACCCAAGACTATTTCCTTTCACCATGGGAACTATTTCTGAAACTAAGACTCTGTGGTTTGAAACCACAGAGTCTTAGTATGGTGCCTAGTTTTTTGTTTTTGTTTTTTTATCCCATTTTTTATATGGATTAAACTCTATTTTAACTTTATCTTTTATTCCCATTTCCTACCTCCCTTCATTCTAAATCACATTCAAACCAACCACCTCCCATCCTGCCTGTTTATGCCTGCCTCTCATTTATGTTTTATTTCATGCCTTGCCAAATTTAAAAACTGTGCAAGATTGTATTTCATGGATAACTTGGAAACCAAATTTGTAAACCCACTAGATTCGTCAAATTCAGGCACCGTGTAATGCTCCCCCTGCTAAGAATCAGGGTTAATGCTTGATGGCCCAAACGCTGAACTGATTGGTACAGGCAGCATTATCTTCACTGTTTACACTGCGACTTCACGCTCTGCACTTTTCTTCTCATAGATGAGCTTTTCTTGTGTTTTTTTTTTCTTTGATTCTTTTTGAGAGTAGATAAGTTTTTCCTCAAACATGATTATGGGACATGACATCCAGATACCCTCCCAGAAACACATCTTTTGTAAATGGATTGTGCTTTTGACAAGATCAGAGAATATTAACCGAGGACACAACAGCTCAGTCACTCAGAAGAGGGTTTTATCAGATTCACTCGCAATTCAGGAATAGAAAAAATATGTTTCAAATAATCAGAACCTTTAAGCAGAAGTTTGCCTTAAAAAGAAACAAAAAGATTGCCAGCTGATATTCTGCTCTGAGCTTCAGCAAGTCTGTTTTGTTTGTATTTCAGTAGAGAGAAGGGTACTGCATTGAAGTCGGAACATAAAGAAATTATTTACATAAAAAAAACTAATCACAAAATTCAAATGAAGAAAACATGAGCAATTGTGACCAGATTTAAATTACGTTACTGCACCTTTTTCTGTTGCACTTTTTAAAAAGAAACTGACTCAGTCAGTAGAGGAATCAGTCATAAAATTAAAATCAGGATCTCTAAAGTCAAACCTTTTAGTTCTGGCTTATCTACTTTTTTTAAAAGTAAAAATACTAATAATACTAATAATAATAATAATAATAATAATGTTTGATATGTTTGATTTTCCCAGAACAGCATAATACTTGTGCTCGAGTCTCACCTTCACAGCTGCTCAGCTATTTTTAGACTCTTACATTTCTGGCTGTAAAACAGATGTGTGAAACTGAGTGTGCACAAGTGTAACAGGGATCATTACATGTCTGAGAGCTGGGCTAATTGACAGTAATGGGTTGTTGCAGTGGGAGAGGTGACTACTGAAGGGGGCAGCAGGAGCCATTTTTGTTTGGCAGCTTTTGCAAAGACCACTCTGCTAAAAGGCTTCATTAACACCACTTTTCATGGCCCCATAAAAAAGATTTATGCGTTTCAGCTTTACAGTTACCATCATCAGCTGAAAAGTCTTTCACTGCCTTATATTTTTATGTACAATGTCCTGATCCCGAACAAAATGGTCAGACAATAACTTGACGTGATAGAAAGAAGAACTGCAGAAAAAGTCATGGATGGACTTTTTCCTCCATCCATAAGTTTAATGGAGATCAATAAGAACTTTTACATATTTAGTTTGCATGCTGCAAACTAAATATGCCAACTAAAGGTTGGCATGGAGATGATTAAAACCTTATTCATCTCATCACACTTGTTGACCCCTTTGGTTAAGATGCGGAAAATAAATTAAAATGATGCATTTTCCACATCTATGCAAGCTTGCACTGAAAGAAAAAGTTAACATTTGAGTAATTTTATTGAATGAATTTTAAATTCTTAGGCACTTTAATCATTTATGTTCAACTATAGCTTTTCATGTCTAAGAACTTTTATTTTGAAACTCGTGATGAGTGTTTCTGTGGGGCAATAATATTAGAAAAAAAGAAGCCACCATGCTAATGAAGGGAATTGTAAGGTTGGGTTCACTAATAAAGAACTTTATTAATGGGTCTTTGGTACACCAATTATTCCTGAAACTTTAAAACTTTTGCACACATCTAAAATTATGCCAATAATGCTTTACACACATTTATAGTCTCTAATCAAGTACTACAATCAATTTTTAGTCACATTTAAACACCTTTTAGCAAAATGAGAAACAAAATCCAAAAGTGTTTTCAGCTTTTATTTGTCAATGAATATTGGGAAAACTATAAAATCTTTTCAGTTCGGAACAGAAAAGCCAATTTTCATTAAGCATTACCTTCCTATAAGTATAGCACCCAAATTAATTAGGTTTGTGTTGAATACAGTTCATATCCAGGAGGCTCTGGGGGCACGTCATTGGCTCATGTGCAGCGTAGGGCCACAGCGGCGGTGACTCGCGCTAATATAAATTATACCTACCAGCCCCGCACCACAGCTCCATTCCATCTATACGCACACCGAATAACTCATGCTTTGTCAAGCTGGAAATTTACGATTAATTCCACACGAATGCACAATCCGCCCCCACACCCCCCCACCTTCCCCCAGTAAGCTTTATATTCGTAACATTTAGTTTGGGAGTGGTTCCCCAGGTAAATCGATTGAACTGTGAATTCAATGAACATTGCTTTCTAATTTGACTTGAGTAAGTGGGTGACAAATAGTCCGGCCAGAAATCAATGAGGAAAATTATGTAAACAAAAAGGAAGGAAGAGGAGCAGAAAAGCAAATATGCTAGAGTCATTTGCATACTGCAAACTAAATACGTAAAAGTGTATACAGTCTGACACAACCCAAACTAGATGATGAATCCAAGAAAATACTGTATGTTTAAACAATAAGGAATATAAACATCTAGATGGGAATTATAGATGGATTGTATAACCTTGCAATCTGTCAGTCTACTTCACAATCTGAGGTACAACTAGATCAAACTGAAAGAAAAACCAAATTAAAGCTGCATAGACAGTAATATCAAGTATTCAATAACTGCAGGAGACGAAATATTCCATTACTTCTCTCTCAGGAGGCTTTTGTATAAAGAAAGAGAGTGTGAGTGTGTGCTAGTGACCAGCTGTGATCTCACCCTGTAAAATCAAAGTCATTCATATCAAATACTGTCAAAGTGTTTTATTTCCACACATGTTTTTAATCTATTCTGCCAATCACTCGTAAGGTACTGTAACACAATTAGCGCATTAGTGTGAAGTCAATCAATTACAGTTTCCAGATTTTATTGTCATGTTAATCTGCAGAAAATAAGGTAAAAAAAACAAACAAAAAAAAAAACTGAAAAATTATGTCTTTCCAGTTAAGTTGGTAGAAAATACACACGTATTAAAAGCTGTGTAACTTTTTGCTGTCAGAGGTTTGAGAAAGTTTGTCTAAATAATTATTGCAAGTAAAACTCAGGATAAGTAACATACTGCAACATATTGTTGTGCAGAAAAGGTAATTGCAATTCTTTTTTTTATTTTCCTCTTGGGATGCCTAACAGTGGCGCGGGGCCAATTGAAGGCGCAAGGGCGCCGCCCCGCCGCTCACAACTCGCCACATTACCTTGGATAAGATAGAAAAATAGAATTGATAAAAATGAAATAATAAAATGAAAACATCTTGAAACATATGCATATAGTCTTCTAGTTGTGTAAGATAAATATGTTAAAATTAATAACGGGTAAAGTTGTTTTGTGGATCGACGTCTGATTGGTGACGTATTTCTCCCTGGGGTGTCAAAATATTTGCCCATAGACTCTCATTAAAAGTTGTACATGTGCAGCAGCTTCTCTTCAATACAACAGATGGGAGCATTCTGGGGCGCACCACTCCTGCACCCAGAGCTGAGTGCAGCTCAATCTGCCTGGCACCACCCCCCCACCATGGGTCCGATATCGGGGCCGACATCACAGCCGTCTGTCACAAAGTTCACGTGATTGACAGTCAAGCCGCGTGAGTTGAGACAATCGGACAAAGATGCGAAATGAAGCAGGAGAAATTGAATTATTCAGTGACGTCACTTAAAACAATACCTGCAGAGAGAAGAACAAAGCAGGAGAAGCTAGAGGTGACCTTAGACCTGATCAGCCAAACATCTCAACAAGACTTGACTAACTGCATGCGAGGATAACTTGGAAATATGTAAAATGTGTAGTATATTAAAAATATGTAGTCATTTACATATTTAACGCTTCAGTAAAAATATTTTTGCCGAAATAGAACAGTCCTGATAATTGCCTCCATATCTGTAAACATCAAATGTCTTAGTTTGGCATTGGGCAGCTTCCCAGTCTGATGGGCTTCTGGTGATTCTGTGGCTGCTTTCCACAGAAGAAAGTTAAGCAGGAATCGGAGGGATACAGTCCAACACTGCCCGGAAAAAAAAAGAAGTAATGAACTTGTAAGAATCCATCAGACTGGTATACCTCTGGGCCTTTTTACACATACATATTTACATACATGAAAATATTCACACATTTGGATAGAAATGCCTGACAGAGGTTCAGGCAGAAAATGAAATGATTACCAGTGAAAAATACACCTGAGCTAAGAAAGACAACATTTTCTCTTGGTCGATGAAGGAAGTATGTGGCTGTGTGCGTGTGCATGTGTGTGTGTGTGTCACTCCCACTGCTCATTAAGCAGCATGAGCCCTACTACATCTCTATAGGGGGGACTAATCAGCTAATCATTCTTAGATTACAACCTAATACTGCTACACATACCAGTGTCAAACATCTTTGTAAGTACACGGGCTCACATAGAGAGCCCTATTGTCTCCAAATGGAATTCCTCCTTCCTCTTTCAGGGATTTACACTTTTCTTTGCTTGTACTGAAACACACCTTGGCGTATGGTTTCAAGACAAATCCTTTAAAAAAAAAAAAAAAAAACTTACAAGGACATGAAAAGGGAATGCTAAGGATTTGATTTAATATTTAAACCATCAGGGCTCCGGTTGCCAAGCACCTCTCTTGAGAACTCCTACTTGTAATTGGATATTGGACTTCCTCCCAAACAGACCATAGATAGTTCAGATTATTCTCAGTATCAGAGTCCCCCTCAGGGTTGTTGGGTGATTAGCCATCCCTGTTGACTCTCTGCACACATGATCGCACAGAGAGATAAAAGGGAGACATTTTGTAAGCGTTCTCAATGACGCCACCAGACTGAAAATGATGGTCGGAGTTCATTTCAGGAGGAAATGAATAATCTCAGAGGTGACGAGTTCCAGGTTTCTGGGAATCAATATCAGTTCACCTGCTATGGAGAAAGAAGTTGCAATA